CACGCCCAGGGTACTGACTGGAGTTTTGCACGTGCTCACTTGAGGTGGTCCCTTACCAGTCGCGTGTTCCTAGAGGGAGGTCATAGGCCAGGGAAGCTCCGCCATTTTGCCTCGTAGTGTGTGTGCTTGAGCCCACTCGCCCAACTCCTGAGATCTCATCGGGAAGCTGCTCATCACCAGTTTCAGGTTTTTTCTGTCTCTTGGGAGGTGGCCGTTCCCTGGTGCTGGCTGAGACGAATTATTATTTTAGAGAGACGGTTAACAGCTGCCTGACCGTCACCTGATAGCTGCCTGAAGTTCTTGGTGTGGGGCGGGGGCCTCTCCTGCCCCGCTCGTGTTTGACTAGCTACCTACTATAACGAAATGAAAAGCAAAACGATGTCAACCTAAAAGGAAGAAGCTGAGGCAAAAGTGGTATAAGTAGAGAGTTTGCCTGGGCCAAGCTTGGAGGTTGTCATCCGGAAGCATCGATTCAAGTGGTCCTGAACATGCATTCCAATTAGAGGCAGTTCCAAGTGGGTTTTTAAAGGGAAATAAGAGGCAGTTCCTGAGTTGTTTGCCAAGAATTTACATTAAAATAACTTAAGCTATTAATTGGCTGTATATTGTTAAGCTTTAGAATGTGGGCGATAGTGGCCGGTACAACATTGCCAGGTTAATTTACAGTTGCTTATGGCAATAGCAAGCAGTTTAAGGAGACTCAGAGGGGGAGTTTCTTAGCTCGTGGTGAAAGACTATCTTGCAACTTTCAAATATACGTGTCATTTACTTGCGTTACTTTAGGAGAAAGAGAAGACGCTGCTTCTGCACCAGTGGCCCACGGCTGACTTCCAAGGCGGCGGGACGACCGAAGGATATTTTCTTCCAGGTTTGTAGCAGGACAGACAGACCCATGGGCTCCAGGTACAAGGAAAGGGAAGGACTTGAGCCCAATTTTAAACACGTGGTGCTTTTAAATTCCCGTGCCCTGACATGAAGCCACCTGGCAATAACTCCAGATAATGTCCGTTCAGCATTTGACGCGTGACAGGCACCTGAGTGCTCTTCAGGAATGAGCTCATGAAATTCCTTTTCAATAGACAAAGAAGCCAGAGCCGGGACCTTCTGACTGTCCATGAAAAAAGTCAAACTCTGTGAACTATTTGAAGGGATTGATGCTGGGCCACATGTGAGGAGCGTGACGCGTGACCCAGCCCCAGGAGGTCCTGAGAACGTGGGCCCCACGGTTGTTGGTTTACAGCTTGATTTCGTACATTTTAGGGGAACAGGAGTTACAGGCAGAGACATCAAAATACGTGTCTGGTGCCCACTGGTTTGGTCCAGAAGGTGGGACAACTCAGAGGGGAGGCTTCCAGCTCACTGGCAGATTCAAAGACTTCCTGATTGACAATTTGTTGAAAGAGTTATTATCTGAAGACCTGGAATCGATAGAAAGGAATGTCCAGGTTTAGATGGGGAGTTGTGGAGACCGAGGTGTTTCTCTTGCAGATGCAGCCTCCAGGCTTCCGAGCTCTTATCAGACAAAAAGGCACCAGACTCTTGGTTAATTCTCCCCTGGCTCAGGGAACAGCCCTGGAGAGGGAAAAGGGGATTCTCAACAGGATGTAGTTTTTCCCCGCAAGAGACAGCTGCGCGGGCCCCACTTCAAAGTGTGTTGAAGAAAGATATTTGGGTATGAAATACCTGGATCTCTTTCAGGCCTGCGATCTGTCGTGTGATGCTTTGGTAGAGTCAGACTGGAACTTGGTATCTTACTGCTACAGAGCGTCCACTCCGTCAGCCCTCAGAGCTCTGTTTTCATGTGGATGCTGGTCCATTGTGCCTGGCTCCAAAGGCAGAGGGGATGTGATGAGACCTGTCCACCCTTGCCCCCTACCACCCCCGACCCCATCAAACTAGTTTTTCAGGTACACTTCGGAAGGCCCTGGGCCAAGAGGAGGGTCCATTCAGTCGGCTGGGGGGCTTACAGTGTTATTTTTGGTTTCGTGAACCTTGTCCAGGGCCACACACCCCTGAGTCCAGAGTGGACACTGTCACCCCTGGTGGTGGCTGCCGTGAAGTCTGGCCTCTCAGCTGTGCTGACAGATAAATCACATTTTTCTACCTCCACAAAAAACGTGGACACAAAACAGCTGCAAAACAAACATACAAACACACATACTGACTTTAGAACAATAGAATCATATTAGAATACCAATTCATGTTTATAGAAAAAAAATTGTCTGCTAAAAAAGTTATCCCTGTTAAGAGTCCTCATGTGTATTTGGGAAATCTTTAAATGCTGTGGAATAGAAAAGTGGAACCTACCTTGAGCATTTAGAGTCTATTTAGAGAGGCAAAGTTGATTTAAAATAATAAACAAAAGTGTGGCCACGTGTAATTACTAAGTTGAGTACTAAGCCCAGCAGTGTGTGTGACTTGCTGGTCCTGCAAGCAGGAGCCCGACACACACAGCAAGTCCTTCCACTGAGAGGCTAGGCTGCAGCAGAGAAAGGGTTAATCCTGGGGTGGCTGAGCCGGAGATGGGGATGCAGCCGCAGACCCACCTCCCTGAGGAGTTTGGGGGTCTTGAGGGTTTTGGAGAGGACGGAAGTGTGGAGATGGCTGACTGCCGGAAGAGTGCAGGGTCTTGGGAAGGCATTCCTGGGCCGGTCCCTATGGCGCTCCTCTGTGGGGGACTCCACGCTGGTCGCTGGCATTCAGGGTCTGAGAAACATCCTAAGTGATCCTTCAACCAAAGCCTTAGGATTCTTACGTCAGAGACCCCATCTACAGGAGCGATGGGGTCCAGGCAACTTTTAACAACAAGGACGTGGCCGAGGCACAGCCTGGTTACTGCTCAGTTATAACTACATTCTGTCCACAACTGGGCCTGTGATTCTTGTCAGCCCTGGGGGGTGTTTCACGAGGACAGAGATGTGGATCAGAGCACCAGGACCCACCCTGCTGGCTTCGTGCACTTGGGGGCACTGACGGCCCACGGGGCGCCCTGTGAAGGCTGGGTGGGGCTCCCCTCCCAGCAGGCAGGCGTTTTCTGCGTGTGCCCCGAAGGCGGACACCTTTGCCTCTGCGTGTCACATGGCTCTGCTGCCCGTGCGGAGACTCGGGGGCTGTTCCCGTGCTGCGGGCGCCAAGTGTGTGGACTCCCAAGCGCGCACATGGCGCTGTGTCCTCGGCTGCGGGGGAGCTTTCCATGGAACTCCTGAAAGGACCCCGAGTCCTGCTCTCCGATCTTTAATACGTGGAAACACAGGGCTGTGTCTGTGAATGCAGAATTCTCCAAGCAGATGGAGAGTGAGAGGCAGCAACCAGCAAGCAGACAAGACAGCTGGAGGGGCCACGCAGGTCCACAGCTCACATCAGCCCTGCGGGGCATGCGCCGGCCTGGGCACCTGAGAAGCCACGGTTCCACCTCAGGGGCACTGTGATGGGCAGCTTAGTCCGGGAGGTCCGAGGGCGCCTTTGATGAGGTATTGGGTGGCTCCAAGGACACCCCTTCTTCTCCCTCTCAGGGGCTGAGGACGACCTGACGCTCCGTGCTGCGCTCTATGGCCTGCTCTTCCACAGCCACGCCGACCAGGACGACTGGGAGGGTGGCCTCAAGGTGCTGGACGAGGCCGTGCAGGTGCTGCCAAGGACAGCCCACCGCCTGTGAGTGCTCCAGACACTGCATCCCCACCGGGGGAGTGCTCCCCCACCAGAGTGTGCTCCCCCCACCAGGTGCTGCACCCCTCCCTGGAGTGTGCTCCCCCCACC